CATGCAGAAGACCTGGGTTCGATTCCAGGTGTGAACATAATTTGTTATTTGGAGTTTCTTTTTTACATTAATGATATAATTTTACAGTAATAAGATGCCCAAATTTTTATTTGAGACTCACCGAAAGGCATTGAATTCATGGATAAAAAAGATGTGGGTTCAACTTTCATTTTGGAACTATTTTTCAAGCAAGGGACGGGAATGATCTGAGCATGCAGGAGGACTGACCCATCATAAACCTTTGTCGGCTGTGCTGAAGAGAAAGGCACAGAACCACATTATTTAATTAATTCTGCGTGTTCTCCTGTCCTCTGGGCCACACACACACACACACACACACACACACACACACACACACACTGCACGTTCGGCCGGCTGACGAGAAAGTGCAGCTGCAGAGACAGAGGCACGTTATTTTTATTAATTTGCTGTGCTCTTCTGTCTTCCGGGCCAAACACACACACACACACACACACACACACACACACACACACACACACACACACACACACACACACACACACACACACACACACACACACACACACACACAAGGACTGTCTCAGCTGTTATTTTCGTTAAGGAGTGTGCACGTACAGCATGTGTACCTCATGCACGAGCTTACTTTTGAAGCTGCAGTTACGCGTTAGGCCTGAGTGGCGATCGCGAGCATAAAAACTTCAAACTTCTTTAGAGTCCCCTTTAATCCTAACTTTATTTTAATAATAAAACTGCATATGTTGATTGTAAATAAATCCTTGTTTGAGTCTAAGTCAGTTACTAATATCCACTTAATCAGCCACTTATTAGGAAAGCAAAAGCATATTAAGGCATGAGAAAGGATGGGGTTATGGAAAGGTCGTGGAGTTTTGGTTACAATCACTCATTAGACAAATATTAAAAAAATGTGTTGAAGTTTGGTTTAAAAGATACTACCCTGAGGTTATACTGGCCTCCTCATTTTGGTTAAACAGAGGAAACAATCATGGCCATTGATAAAAGAAACAAACAGAACCAAACATCAGCCTTCTGTGTCCAATTATGTGGGTTTGTTGATTGGTCAAACAGATCTGCACTTCCCTTCTAGCAATTCTATTCATATTTTCCACTTTGGTTCACATTTGCATCTGCTAATAAATAAAGGTTTAGGTTTTTACAACAGTAGAAGGAAAAGGCATCTGTTAGTCATCTTCTTTCACTCAAGTACTACAAGCTACCACACATCATGTCCAGCCCAAAACCATCAGATACTCCTAGATCCCTGTAGAGTAACACTTTACACAAATCAGTGTTTGTTACCAACCAAAGATTGCAGCTCAGAGGAAGAGGAAATGATTTCATAAGGGAAAAAAAACTGAGGACAGTTAGGTCAACACCACAACGCCAAAATTGCTTGTTGTTGAGTGACTAAGTCTTGAAACTGGGATACAGCCTCAGCTTTCAATTCTTCTTATTATGTTCTATAAAAAGCAAACATGCTCATTGTCAAAACCATAATGACCTGAAAGGCAAGTACAGAAACCGCCCTTTCCAAGAGTTAGTCAACAACAGACACATTTTGTTTCAGCTTCAAACTGCAATGTAGGACTGTGACAAATGTCTATTTATTTAGTTTTTTGGATGGGGGCTCTGAGTAAATCAGTCCAAACACAAACAAACCAGCATCATCAGTAGTCACAATACACACACACAAAATGTACTTCTTAAATTAATGATACCAAAGCTAGATCTAAGTATTCAAATTATCCTAAGGTTATACTTTTGAGAAACCTTTATGAGATTTTCTAAAATCTCCTAGTTATCGTCCCTTTAAGTTGTATTTTTTCCTCCTTTTCTAATTGTGGTACTCTATATCGATACATGATACGCTCTGCCATCCCACAACCTGACGCAGCTATTGACCCAATCAATACCCAGGCCTCAGCTTCCTTCCGCACTCAGCATCACTGCAAACCAGCATAAAAAGCAGCAGCACTGAGCCTCATAAGAAGTTCACTTCAGAGATATTGGAGATGACCTCCCCATAGACAGGCCAGGACATGCAGGCAGCTGCTGTCAGCAAGCCAGAGCTTGGGGAATTAATAGAAACAGCATCTCTCCAGGGACACTGCTGGACCACACTGACAGCCAGATCTGATCTGGGGTCATCTTAATGCACTCTCGCATTAGTGGTAGGAAATATTAAACCTTGACCAGAGCGGACATTATTTAACGTTTTGAATGAGCTCAGTTCTGAATGCTGGCACAGGTTTGTGGTAGCTTTGATATGTACACTTGTGGCCAATAAGAATGTGGGAGTGCCCTGTTAGGGATTCAGATTTCATCTGACACAGTATGCTATTAAATCTGAATGACACACACATGCAAGTCATAAGAAAAGATTTGGGCTTCTTATTTACCAATAATTAAAAAACACAAGTAAATAGACTGAAGGTCTAACAATATGAAATAGTTGTGAAGAATCACTGTGAATAAATAGAATAGAATAGACTTTGTGGATCCCACAGTAGGGAAATTCACTTATTACAGCAGCGCCAGCACAAAAAAAAAAAAAAGCTGAACTTGTGATGATGCGGGGCCAGAATAAATTAGTTACAAGATCACACGTGCAGAGGAGTTAAAAGTGATTCTGATGTATGGACTACTTTGATTTACAGATACAGTTCATAATCATTTTGACTAATGTATAATGTGTCCAATTTGCTGGCAATAAATCAAGTGACTGCTTGGAACAAAAGTCAAAACTAGATTAATAACTCCCTCAGATTAACAAATATAAAGAAAGGATGCTACAAACAACAATAAATACAATTATCAGTTACTTTAAAGAGGCAATGTGTAGTTTATACCATTAATCTCTGTAGATATCCATCAAAACAATGTTGAAAATAAATTAAATGATGTCCAGTTGTTGAAAAATATTGGCAGCATTGTACCATATAACCATAAAAATTGAGTGTAAACTGCATTGTGTGCAGGTCTAAAATCTTTGGAGGACGCCATATTAGATGCCAAGTTTCCTTCTGGAGGGCTCGCAAGCTTGTGCCTGTCGATGATATCACACTAGATGATTGGCTAAGCGTACAACCTACAGAAGTTACGTTACCACATTCAAAAATATCTTGGCAGTGAGAAACAATAATTTAATAACAAAACTGCTAAACTTTTTCCAAAACCTATGTGAGAACAGAATTGAAAAAGAGATGCAATATATATTTGGCTGAACGGTATTTTCGTAGTATGATGACGTAGGGCTGGGCAATATGGCCTAAAATATATATTCTGATATAATCTGAAGCATGTGCAATAACAATATTTATTGCGATGTATTTTTTTCTCTGTTAATATATGTCAAAATGACATGCTTTTAAAAATCCACATTTGGCAAATATATTGCAGCAGAATAAAGACGTCCAAAAAGTAGAATGCTCCTCCTCCTCTGCCCTCTCCATACTTGCAGTCACTGCCATTCTGTTGTCCCAATGTCAGGGAGAGTGCACATTTATTGACACCATGTGTTACCATGATAGAGCCAAAAACTCTATCATTACCCAATTTTATATCGTTTCTACCTTATATAGTTTATACTGCCCACCACTACATCATTGGCAAGCGCAGGACCCCTGAGCAGCTCTGGAAAGTACAGCACCAGAAAATTAGCATCTGCATTGCATTCTCTCTATGGAATTACCTGAAGAACAATCAAAGTTTGAGGAGACACGCCAAGGTTGCATGCTTTCTGTTCCACAGGTAACAACATTTACGATAATGTTTTTTTTTTAACTAGCGACAGTCACAGCAATATGGTGTAAAACTACCCTGAAATGTATGTACTGCCCCCTGGCACCAGGAAACTACACGTTGCCACCTTAAGATGGTAAAATCTTTTAAAATTTTTAAGCATTTTTCATTAGCGGTTTGCTTCTTGGCCGTTTGCACATTACTCCTGCTTGGTTCAGTGAATACCAACTTGTTACCTAATGAAAAAGTTGCCATCAGTAATCGTGAAGCACTGTTTCATCCCAAAGTGCACACACTGATGGTTAAATAATACAGCCTTTAGAATTGTCAGAGCTAAAAATGGCATTTATTAATCCAGCTGACAGCTCTGTTTCCCTCCTCCTTGCAGAGAAAAAAATGAAATCAATAAGCCAAACCACTATTCATAATTTATTCATCTGACCACTGAAAACCAAACACAGCTGAATTATTTACTGTTCCAAGGAGATCGTTTGAATTAATTAATTTAGAGTGTTAAATGTTAACTTTTCATCCCATGAGAGCATTTTTGTCTCTAATATATTTTGTCAAATGATAAACACCTTTATTTGCGTTATTTTTTTTAACATATTTTCTCGTGTTTGCTGTTGCATTGCCTCCAATTCTGCCCACGCTATGAAAGCACCTGTTACACATAGTAACCTGCAGTGGATTTACTTGTATTAAATAAAAATGCTGATATATGTCTGTATAGAGGCATTGAGAGAATATAGAGAGCCCATCTAGACTCGCCTACGCACTAACAACGCTAGAAAACGTTCCAGATTAAGGCCAAGTTATATAACTACCAGTGCACATTGCATGTGTGCTATTGGCTCGTTATGCTTAAAACGTGTTTTTGACAACATAATCTGGGTCATACCAAGCTGCTAGGAGTTGTTTCAATTCACTTGAAGTGCAAAATAGCAATATGATGACACATAGATAACAGACAATAATACATTTGAGCCGTAATTTACAGATTAGCTGGTGAACTGTTTCCTTAGCTAAAACTTTGATGTTTAATAAACGCTAAATAACTGAGTTTGAAATATTAACGCGAGAAAATATCTGGAAATATTTGCTTCTCACACAAGAAGTGGTGCCTTTAACGTGCAATAGACAGTAAAAGCAGTGGCAGATTGGTATAATTTGTTATAAAGCTGTAATAAACGGATAAAACAGCGCGTGAGATGCTAACTTTACGGTCAGCATCAAACCAACCTGCTAGCTCTCCTTACCTCGGTATGGTGATGCATTTTGTGTTGATATTCTGCGTGGTGATGGCTTTCTCCAGTTCATCCAGCTGTCCCGTCTTCTTCAGCTTCTTCACTAGACTTTTCACCGCCTTTTCGCACCACTTCTCCTCCTGGCCGTTCTGCTCTCCCTTCTTCCAGCCCAAAAGTCTTTTGACGATGGGGGGAGTGAAAGGCAAAATTGACATCTTGAGTTCAGTCAAGTCCGTCCTGTCTCGAGAAGTCTGCTGGGTTTTTTTCTTCTGGACGTTATACGAAAACGACTACCTTTGTGGCGGTCTACGCAGTGACGAAGAGAGCAAGTCTTCGCTAAAAAGTTATTGTTTTTTATCTAGAGCTACACAGGAGCATCCCAGGGCCAAACTTCTCAGTTTTAGCGAACTCGTTTACCCTGGCTCGAGGAGGTAAACGGCGGATTGTGCACCGGTATTCTTTGGTGCTGTGGATTTAGTGCTGCTCCGCAAGACCAACAAGTCCGTCTGCACCTACTCAAGCAAATGTTATTTAAATAACTCCAACCTGAATTAAAATACGATTTAAAACTATGAATAAAACGTTAAAAAATAAAGGAGTAACGCTAGTGGTGTGTTTTATTGACTGTTCTAATCCTCGAAGCGCAAAGTTTTGTGAAGTTCAGAACCCTCCGCGGTGTGTAGTCCGCCGGCTGAAATCTGCTTGAAGTCTGCATCAGATGCAAATGCAGGAGTTGCTGCTCAGACTCTATTCAGGCTTCAGACTGCTGCAGACCTGTAGCAGCTCTGTCACAGCAGCTGGCCAAAGGGGCCGTGCTGATGTTGCACAATCACTGCCTCTCCTCATGCTAGCAAACTGCTGCGGTCTATAAAAGCGGTCATACGCAGCACTTGATTCAGTTATGTAACACCAACCAGTTTATTTATTTTTTGTCCACACTAGTGCACTTAAAAATGTATGTTTTTTTCTTCAGAGGAACAAAGAAGCTTTGATGTTTATTTAAATGACTTTATCTCAGTTAACTTTATGTAACACAGTTCAAACTGTAATATCACATTTTTGTTTCTTCCCACTCAACACTAACATTTTTTTCTGATTTACCAGGAGAATACATTCATTTTTTGCTCATATGTTATGTTTTTAGAAATCTTCATATGCTCAAGTGTCTAAAGGTTAAGGTGTAGTGTAAAATATGTCCAGTGTGTGTTTGTTGTGTAAACACCTGGGGCTTGAGATCTCTAACACAGAACTTTCCAGTAATGCTCTCTGGGTTGTTCTACCTTCACACGACTGAATAACACTGGAGCTGCTGTAAGACAGAAGGTAATAGAAGTAGCTGCACGCATGCATGAGTTTGCACACTTTCTTGCCTCGGCTTGTTAGGCCTTCAGATGAGTGCTGCTACTCCTCAAGGTGGCAATTTAGTTTATTGCTTGGTTCAGCCTTTAAATTACAGCTATAGTCAAGCACATGCACACACTCTCATATGCATAAACACCCCCTCCTTCATGCACTGAATGTCAAAGAGTCAAGTGCCAGATGTACGACTGAGTGTGGAGTAGAGCTGAGCTCAGACAGTGATAGTGGGTAGCCATAAATGCATTTCAACGAAGAAGGTGGTCCTCTGTGGGTTTTTATCACTCAGAAAAGAGGAATAATGTCTGTACCAAGAGCACAAATGGGACTTGTGATCATCAGGCATGCGGATCAATTGCCTCTGCTTTCAGATCATAGCCTTATTAAAATAGTAGCATTGACTTGTGGTTTTGGTATGCGTGTACAGGAGCACTGACTTGTGTCCAGCAGCCCCTCTCCACAGCTCACAGAGCTTAGTTTGTGCTAAAAATACTTAAGGTCCAGCAGGACAAATGCCTTTCCTTTCATCTATTCTGGTTGACCAGTGTTTATTTTTTTATCAGCCAAAAGAAGTTCACTCTACATGTGCTGAATTAGGAAAAAATAAACTCATTGTTTTAACGTTATTTTTGCTTTGTCGTGTTAAAGAATTAAAGTTCAGTGACCCCCCCCCCCAAAAAAAACCCAAAAAGCTAAGTTAAATAATAATTTCACACAAGATTTAAAAGTAGGACATTTTGCACCACAAATCCCCAGCAGCCCCTCATCTGCAGTATAAATCTAGTCTCCAGCTGAATACACACCACTCTCTCTGTCTGTGCTGTGTTGGCAGGTTGCAACAGAAGCCTGGAGGAGCGTGCTGCCATGTGTCATATGCTAAGGCCCAGCGGCCCTCTCGACACCTGTTTACACCCCCAGGGACACGACCGGCCAGCTGGGTTGTTTTGGAGGAGTGTAGATCCAGACAAGGCGATATAGGGGTGCAGGGTGGGGGGAAGGGTCACAAATGGGCTGCAGAAGAGGGGGAGAGGGGCAGAGTTTAAGGGAACTGGAGGATGGGGGCGGCTGTGAGAAGAATTACTGAGCATAAAAGGCACGTCAGGAAGGCTGAATGAGCAGTGACCACGCACAATCCAATGGATGATAATGATATTGTGCCAGTTTGAACCTCAGGGGACTTAGTCCTGTGTGTGTGTGTGTGTGTGTGTGTGTGTGGGTGGGAGTGTGTGCATGTGTGTTTGTCCCAATAGAGAATAAAGGTCACAGAGAAATAAAAACTCCAGCATGCTGGATAGATGTGATAAGGAAACAGACGACCGCTTTACAGCAAAAACAAAACATGCTTGTTTTGAACCAATCACACATAATCCATTGCAATTTTTTACCCTAATTATCTTCAAACTGATGTTAAAGTATTTTTAGAGATACCTCTTACAGAACTCCACTCCGTGAAACGATTAAACATTTTTTAGCAATTAATAAATTGAATGAAATGTACATTGAAAAAAAAAATTTAACTTTTTTAAAAGCCAAATAAAAATTATCCTCTCAGGACCCGAATTTGTATTTTGTGGGATTTAAGAGAAAAAACAATCCTTGCCATTACAGATTAGTTCACTCTCATAACTATGAACAACAAGAAAAAACACAATATTAAAAAAAACAAAACTAAATGAATAAATTAATTTAATATTTGACTAACTTCTGAAAAAAGAAAGGGAAAAATAACTTAAAGTCAATGTCAAGTGAATTTTAAAAAGTTGAAAAGAATAAAATATAGTGCAAGAACTTAATGTTCACATATGTGAACACACATGCTTTATAATACACAATAGATGTGTTTTAACATTTTCGATGATAAGACAGTTCAAATTTTCTCACGAAACGGGGAAATAAATCAATAATTAAAAATTAAAAAACTATGATAATCCTGTTCTGAGATGCAGAAGATTGCTGGTGAACAGGTGGGCTGAAAACTGCAGGATTACTCATTATTATTAATGATATGCACACACCTCACTTCTGATTGGCTAATAAAACATTTTCTGCAAATTTGCAAAGTCACTATCACCATGACACTTTCGGCTCTCTCTCCTCACTGCAAAAAAAAAAGCCTTCCTGTGGGCGGGCACGAGCCAAGATGGGCGAGACCACAGAGCGTGACATAGATATGTGAGGACTTTCAAATCCTAGCATTTTCTATCAGAAGCTAACGCAGGAGATAGGTGTAGGAGACTGTTTTCATATTCAGCCTGCATGAGAAACAGAGTGTTCGATTATAATCAAAAATAAAAATTGAAAACTGTTTTTTCAGTCAACCACACCTCCAAAAAAAACAAAAAGTCGACTACGAATCCACATGAAAGCTGCTTGGTATGAGGTTTAATGGTTAAACAACAACAATAGTGAAACACAAGTGTGTTAATGAGGGCTGCTAACGAGCAGAACTTCTCATGTGGTCCTCGTTAACACACCTGTGTTTTCTCTAGCCCTGCAAGTCAAAATGTGTGCGGTGAAATGGAATTTAAATGAAAGCAAAATCTAGATATTAATCATAACATTCCTAATTTTCCTTTAGTTTATTTTCTACCACAATTAGGAACTTTGTCATCACCCGACACAAATCTTGTATCTCCATTTTCCAACATTTTGCATAAAAACAACCACAGATAACCATTCATATCTGCCTTGTGATTGAAAAGTATCAAAAACATCCTGCTCTGTGACAACATCCAGTTTATTTCCCGAAAAATTCCTTGAGGCTATGAGCTTTCAGTCTAAACATGACAATAATTTAATTTAAATGACAAAATAATGTGTAAAAAAATAAATAAGCAGAAGCACAAACATTCACATGTGTTTTCTCTCACTAAGTGATAAATTTCAGGTGTCACAAAAACTCTAGTTTAAACATTCTGAAGTAAATCAGCATGTCATCGCTAAAAATAAAAGTCAAAGGTAAGAAATCTTTTTCTTCTCACGTTTGTGTATAAATAGAAATGTGAATGTATTTGCCTGAGCTTGAACTGTAGGTGTTTGTGAGTGACAGGAGCTCAGGGCAAACTGCTGACGAGTGTGTAAAAGTGTTTTCACAGAGCTGCTTAAATGACAGAACACTGGGTTTTCTCTCTGAGACTGCCATCAATCGCTCAGCAGCTCCTGAAAGCTCCTCCAGCCATGTTGGAGTACATAGTGTGCCAGAGGCTCCTCATCATATCGGTCTTTGACTTCAACGCACCCACACACACACACACACACACACACACACACACATACATGTATATATATACTTGTGAGGACACTGACCCTACCTATCTTTGTGAGGACATCCACTTCCTGCATAGCTGTAGTGTTGGGCCATGAAAATCTGACACTAGATGTGAGTGAAGAGTCAGAATCTCACTTCAAATTGTTGAAAAATCAAAGTAAAAAAAATATTTATTTGGTGTACTTGTGAGGACCCACAACCGTTGCTAGGCAGATTAGGTGATGTCCTCACAATTCTGTATTTCCTCCCTAACCAATTTTTGATTAAATTTCCACATGAAAAATTAAAAATTCTTAAACTTTCAAAGCAATTTTAACTAATCAAACTGTTTTTACAAATATGTAACACTTGTTTATTATCAAATTGGCAATAGCAAAGTAAAATTTTAACATCTTGAATCACAGAGAAGCTTTTAATGTTTGCCTATAAAATACTCTATCAGTTTAAAATTTTTGTTTAGTTTTTCTTAAGAAAAAATAAAATATATTAGCTTAATTATTTTCTTGTTTTAGTGTGTAAGTTGCTAGATTTTCTTTATACTTTCAAAATGTTTTGCTTCTAATCCAAAGAGCTTTGTAATATTAAAGTGGAATGAGTGGAGCATCAAGCCCAAGTATTGTAGTGTGATTCTGGAGCTTATCCCTCTCCTTATTCTGGTCAGAATTGACAAAGCTCCTCAAATAAGAAGTGAAACATATTCAAATAACCAAAACAACTCAGTTGCCTCAACCCAAATCTACAAGGAATAACACAAACTGCATTTCGGAGAACCTTCACCAGGATTTAGCTTAAATAATATTAGATAAGGATTTTTTCTGTAATTCCCTATTCCAAGTTGTGCGGTGAAGTCTGAGCAGGTAACAGTTCATCGAGGCACCACACAAATGCTGCAAACTAAAAGGACAGACAATCATCAACATTAGGGATGCACAATCTGCATCAATAAGTTATTTTTAACATATTGGTATTGGTCCGATAAATAAAACTTGGTCAATATTAACAACAAATATTTTTTTTCCATTTTGTTTCCATTTGTTTATCTGTTTCAGATGGTTAGGGGGGTGGTGTGTATTTGTTTAGCCATGTGACAGTTATTTTAATATTCTCATAGGCGTAAATGTGTGTGGTGTGTGTACATAACAACGTAAATTCAGCTTT